TTTTTTCCAGATCCATAGTAAAATGCATGTTAAATTCAGATGGTTTGCTTTTTATTTTCAGGTTGGGGTGGCCTTTCTTTATAAATTGCTTTAAATATTTTTTATTGTGTGTCTTGGCCCTCCTTCGTAAGGGATTGTGGCACTCTGCACGTTTTCCCTTGTGCTGGGGAATGTCAGCACTAGAGGGGAACTGGCTACATGTCTGTCAAATGAGTTCTGAGGCTTGAAGTGTTTGTGCAGGTCCCATGTCCAGACATGGTGTTGCTCATGACATACACTGCACCGTTAGCACTGTGGATGCAAATAAGACACAGTCCAATGTCTTTTAAGCTCAGGGTAAGTGTAGCATAAATGTTTTACATAGAGTGGGTCTGTAACAGACTGCAAAACAACAGAGAGAAAACCCTTCCATCAAAATAGCTATAAGGAGTATTTTACAGGTAATTTTACATGATGATGTAAACCCCATCAACTACACTCTGCCAGCTGCCTGTGTTCAAGGTCAGGTTTGATAAGGTAGAGCTGTGTAACCCTGGATCAGGCTCCTCTGAAAACAGCTATATTTTAACAAGGAGCTGAAGGAAAAAGAGCAAAATCTTGGGAGGCAGGAGGGGAGGTTGCACGAAAGGATTACACAGAAAGGTAACCATCTTGTAATCACAAGGAGGTCAGAGCATGTAGAGTCTGTTGGTGCACCCCAGTGCCTAACACCCCCTGCAACTGAGACATGTCTGCTGCACTAAATGACACCATAACTTTGGGAATGTGGTTGATGTGGGTAACACAGATCTCACCTATCGGCATGGATATGTTGAATTTGCTCACCTCAAATGATTGCAAACCAGCCAGCACTAGTGTAGGGCTTTTATGTCAAAGGCAATCCTCTTTTCAACTGGTAGTGATTGCCAGAAGATAGAACACTGGCATGGAAAGATGGGTCCTAGTTCTCATGACAGAATATGAAATTCAGCTGTCCAAATTCTACGGTTTTGTACTCCCTATTGGTATATGTAACGTAGGACAATGTGAAACCTAACTGAAGTTTTCTTAGGCCAAAACCTCCAGTATGTATGGCAAGGATTAGCTTAAACTGTGAACATCATGCAGGCAGTTGCCTGAGGGAGGTACTGGACAATCTCCATCCTCTGCTGGTCAAGAAGCACTAATTGCTTTAACATGGCATGACTAATTTGTTCAAATAAGAGTTTGCCTAACCCTGCAACAGGCCTCCTCATTGGCTTTTAAGTAGTGCAACAACAGAAGACAGCACATTTCTACAACATGCACCAAGTAGTTTAATATGTTAAAGTGAAACAAATCACTCCCTAGAGTTCAAGAGGTGAATTTCTGGTAACTGAGTCTTGTTCTTGGTCTACATAATGTAGAGAGTAAACCATTCCCAAGAGAAGAGAGGGTATGTTACATCATACAGTTTGTTGTAATGCATGGTAATAACACTGTTCATTTTAATCTCAACATGATGCCTTTTCAAAAGAAGACTGAGGTTTTCACTCTGCTCAAAAATCAGCCACCATTTGTTAAGCAGTTTGATTTAGCTGTTGTGACAATAGTATTCCCCTTTGTAACTGCTGAACAGATTTGCTATTAGAGAAAGAGTAACTCTGATCCTAAAGAACAGTCACTCATGCAATATTGAGCTTGCTCAAACTGAAGAAATTTTGTAAGACCCAGTTCAAATGCATGGATCAATTGTAACCAACTGCAACTTACTCCTATGACTGCTAATCGGAGGAAAGCATGAGGCTTAACAGAGCCTGCTCAGAGCTGTTCTTGGGATTTATTTTTGTTTATGGTGAACACACTGTTAAGAGTACCTATTTAATTTGGTCATCACAGTTATGATACAGAGGTAAGATACCTCATGTTTAGGTACCAAAAATTCAGATGCAAATATGATAAAATGATGGATCTTGGTTAAATTACATTACTTGTTGTTTTGGGCAAGATTTTAAAAGTGTCACTGAAAAAACCTAAATGCAGAATCAACAGCTTGTTCTGATAATACATATTATTTATATTTTTTATATACATATTACATATATATCATTATAGAAGAGGAACCACAGCTTTGAGGACTTTAAAATCAGGGGAAAATGCTGAATCAAGAAGGTGCTAATAATACTGATGCTATTTTAAAAACAGACTGCAAAAACAGACTGTTCACTGAGATTAGGAATATAACTGAGGTGTCTATTTTAGACAATTATGGAACCTGGGATCTCTGTATAGCAAAGAGCAAGAAAGACCCCAAGGCAGGTCAGACCTGAAAAAGTCTAATCACCCTTGAGGACGTCTCTCCCTCTCTAATTATTATATAGATAAATTAAGGGAAGTTTCTAGGTACTACCTTATGTTAGAGGCCTAAAATTAAGTGAAATACCCATTCGCAAAAGGATAGATGGCAGGCAGCAGGTACTCAGATCAAACTCAACAACACATTTCTACTTGACAGAAGCAGAATATCTGTTTTTGGAATTCCGTAATGATTGCACAACGTTACTGCAGTCTACAGGACTTTTAATCTCTTTGTCTGGAAAAACAGTTTGCTCAACATAGCCATCTGATACCACAAATAGCAACAATTCAGTGTTTTCCTCCATGCAAGCCAAAACCAATTATACTGAAGCAACTAATAATACCCCTGCACAGATCGTTTCAGATTATTTTTTTCACTTGAACTGTTTTTTAACTTAAAGCTGGAAAATGGATTTTGGACATCAGATTGAGAGAGTTTCAGTGCAAAAGGTGTGTTCAGATATGATTCAGTTGTTCAACATTTAGATGCTGATGCAATATCATATGTATTTGTCTTATTTTGCTTTATTCCTAAAACAACAAAATCTTAACCCTGAATTTCTTTTCTAAAGCCCCTATGGATTATCAATGAAATTTCTGTCATTATTGAAGATAAGGTGAATGAATATCACATTTTTTGCACATTTTAGTAAACAAATGCTTTCTCAACTCACTTGGACTTTCAGTGTTCAATAGATAGCCTCAAGACTGAACTACTTGACCCAAGAATCAATGTTAGGATACGTATGGAATTTAATTTAATACTGCATTAGGTAAAATCCTACTTAAATCTCCTTCTTCAAACCAATCATGAGGCAGGATGTTTTGAAGGTTATTATGAGGCTTTGATCCTATAAAGTTCTGCAAACCAGACTTTTCCTTTATGATTCAGTAAGATCATGTTATAAATGTAGTATTTAACAGAATCAGAAGTCAATGCAAAGATCATATATAAAATATCATTCTTTGTCTGTGATGAGTTTTCAGTCTAATAAGTAAATGACTGATTTGGGTTTTTTTCTTAACTGTATGCTAGTATACTGATAGTATATTGCTAGTATACTAGATCTGAAATGAAAGTACATTAAAACAACAAAAGCTTGTTTTGTAGGAGCAAACTAGAGCTGAAGATTTGTACCTACAGATTTGGACAATAAATGTTGTCAAATGATGAAATGCTTCTAAGAATGTCAAAAATAATATAATTTTTTTTTATAGTTTCTTAATTCCAAAGAATGGGAACACGCAGAGTTTTTATTCAGGTTTTGAATTATTTGCCACATGTACAGTACTGCTTTAAGATCCCTTATTTCTCCCTTTGAACTGATTGTATTTGTGGAATCTACCCTGGAAGGCAGAGTGCTGTCTGCAGTGCAGAAGAGATTTTGAAGAAACACTATTCTATGATTCTAGCATTGCCAATGCACTGTGAGTGCAGAGACTTGAAATACAAAGTTCAGAATTGAGGGAATGTTCTTCTGGTGCGCAAGGAGCTATCTCATTTTTCTGTTCTGTGTTTGTCAAGAATGATAAAACAAATCATGATATCCTTTCAGATGTTTGGCTCCATTACACTGATGGTTTGCCTCCACATGTTGTTTTCCTTCTAATTTTCCACTGTCCAAACCCAAAAAGGATTATGTTAACATACTCCTGAATTAGCATATTTCTAAAAATATAGAATACTGCACGTGTGACTTAAAGTGTTCTTCAGTTATACAAGTTTGTACTCAGGAAATGTAAACAATCAGTCCTTTCCTTCAATAAATAAAGAACATGGCTCATATTTTCTCCCCAAGTGATGGCCCCTCTTTAAGGAAGCCAACAGCATGCTGGGTTGCGTCAACAAGGACAGCACCAGCAGAGATAAAGTCACTATTCCACTCAGTGCTTGTCAGGCCACACCTGGAATACTGTGTTCAGTTTTGGTCCCCTCTATGCAAAAAAAGATGTGGACAGGCTGGAGAGGGTCCAGACAAACCACAAAGATGATCCAAGGACTGGGAAGCCTGCTGTATGAGGCAAGGTTGAGAGAGGTGGGTTTGCTCAGCCTGGAGAAAAGAAGACTCAGAGGAGATCTTATCCCCATGTTCTAGCATTGAAAGGGTTGCAACAAAGACAATGGAGATTCCCTTTTAAATGAGGAGTCACATGGAAAAAGCCAGGAGTAATGGGCACAAGTTACTCCAGGGGAGATTTGACTGGACACAAGAGGAAAATTTTTCCCAGTGAGAACAATCAGCCATTGGAATAATATGCCCAGGGAAGTGGTAGATTCCTTAAGTTTGGACACTTTCAAGATGCAGCTGTACAGGTTGCTGGGACATCTAGTCTAGGTCATGCTTTGCCCAGAAAGGTTGAACCAGATGATCTTTGAGGTCCCTTCCAACCTGGAATTCTATGATTCCTTTTTGATGCTTGATACATCTGAAGAAGTCAGAATTAGCCAGTAGCTGGCAAAATGAGATTTCCCCTAATGAAACCAGAGCAGGAGGAACTCAGATGGTGAAAACTGGTGAAGCCTACATGTTTTGCAATAGCTTCTCTGTCATCCCCACAAACACTGAAGTATATCAAGAAATGAAAGGGTCAAGTTTACTTTTCCCAATGGCCTGTGATCTTTTATCCAGCTGTTGTAGATGACAGCAACTGATGGACTGTTCAAACAAATTTTGGGCCAGAATAGTTTCAGTCTGAAAACCAGCCATAAATGTTGGCAACACAACGATTTCTTTCAAAATCTCCATGTTTCTATTTAACTGAAAATATCCCACACCGAACTGTTCTAGTTATGTAATTGCAACCTAAAATGTCAGTAAATGACATGCAATTGCTTTATAACCTTCTGCCTTTTTTTTTTGTCTAATAGCAGAAAATTCTCCACTTACGCTGTTCAGCTTCAGAAGCAGGACAAAGAAAACTTGTGCTTTCTAGGTAATTCTCTGATAATATCAGTGGTGTAGCAGGACACCTTTTAAGCAGGACACAAGAGAATCTCAGTATTTTTATGAAAATACCTTGAAACTCATTAATGAAAATAGTTACCACCCATGTCATAACAACACAATCTCAATTACTGAGATTTTATGCAAAAAAACATGCCTACAATTCATCCACTATTATTACCATGTATTAACATAACAGTCAAAGGAAAAACTGCCTTGTTTTATGACAATGGACGAGAAAATGTGTGCTTAATGCCCACTTTTCTGCCTAACTATGATTTAACAAGCTGTTTAAGTGCCCTGGCATCCATGTTGTCACTCGTAGAATCATCAGCATAATCACCTCTTTCACAGGTGGGCTTGCAAAACAACTGCTCAAATCCTACAGCTGTAATAATGGTAATAGCAGAACCCTTGTAAAAAAACCCTGTGATGTTAAAATGAAGGGAATAATAAAAAAGGAAACATGAAGTAATGGGAATAATATATATTCTGTCCTATAGTACACTTTTTAGCATAACTTAAATGTTTATACTTATAGTATAAACTATATAAATGTTTATACTTAATGTTTATGCTTATAGTATATATACTTTTAGTATATATACTTAATGTTTATACTTGTAGTATAAACTATAGTATAAGCTTCACTACATTTTTCTAATTTGAAACATTAGCCTTGCAGAAGTTCCCTTTGGCTTAGTTCATCCAATGAAGAAGAGACAAAAAAGAGAATTCTATCTTAGTTAAGTGCTTTCTGCAACAGTGATGCAATTTGATGCTTTTTTTGGTTTTAACTGTTTACTCAAGCACTCGGTCATAATCATTAAGCACTGTTTCAGAGTTGTGGGGAAACCCAAAATGAAGGAAGCTGTGGAATCCCTTTCAAAGCTCTCAAACACACTGGCGAGCAAACCCACTTTCCTCTGGAAAGGGGAGGATTGTGGTTTTCCTACTTCAATGATGATCGTTTTCCTCTGACTTCTATTAGACCATGCTTTCTAGAGGCAGATCCTTACAGCCCATGATTGCTCTTCTGAACAAGCAGGAATGTTGCTTTTGGAAAAAACTAACCAATTACTGGCATTTTGAAAAAGAAACTCAGAGGTAGGTAAATCTTATCTTTCCTCTAACCTCAGCCCTCATTTCAAATTTAGTGCTGTCACCACACAATAGTGTCAGCATGATTCTCAAGAACAAGAAACACAGTGAAGAGCAGTCAGAACAAGCCCGTTGCCCTATCTGCTTTCATCCTTGGTTCTAAAAAGGTTTTGTTAAATGGAAAGTTAACCCACTGTATTCTTTGGACTACATATCATCTTTATCATTTCACATGTGTTTTGTGATTTGGAGAAAGAAATGTATGTGGGAGTCTTTATTAAAAATGTGGCAGACTTGTATTGCCTTACAGTTCAGCATTTCATATTGCTTTTGTAGTGTTTTTCAAGATACAGTATATGTTTGAAAGCTTCTAAAATTGTACCAGATTGTACAACCTTGGTTTTCTTTAGAAGTTTAGTTAGAGACAAAAATAGTCCAAAACATTAAGTATTTTTAGATTGCAGTTATAAATTCTACTTAAATCAATGTATTAAACCAATACAAAACAGTTACCAAAGTTCACTTTTTAATTATTTATCTTCTCAGGAACTCAAATGTAAATTCATATTTTTCCAGTGCAGAGTGGCTTTTATTTTTTTTCAGATCTTAGTAAAACCTGCACTTTCAAAGCTCCTGATTTAAAATTCTAACTAATGGCATAAAATTGGTCTATTTATGGCTACAAAAAGCAAGCCTTGTTCTCATTATGCAGTAAGTACTCCCTGTTTATAGATCTGACAGTTTGTTGGAAGTGAGCCAAACCTATAGTGCTATTATTCCTTAGTAAAACTTAAACAGCTGTAGTCATGTAATTCAAAACCCTGGAAGTCTGCTGCAGGGCTTGTTCTGCTTCAGTATACCATGAATGCAGGATGCAGCCAGTCATATAAAGGATACTCTTCTTCACAGAATGAAAGAAAGATGTGATCTACAAACCTGAATGCAACCTGAAAGGTCCAAATAGATGAGCTTGTGACAGCCTTTTCCAGTGCCCAGGTACAGTAAACCTTTGTCTGTGAATTTTCTGCAGTGAGCTAAACTCAGATGCTGTAAATTGGGGAAGCTGCTTTGCAAACAAAAAAAAAGCAACCAACAAAACCAAACGGAGAGCAAATTATTACAGGGGTATTTTGCAGAAACAAAAGAACATAAAACAGTTAAAGTATTCTGAAAACTACTTAAAGATGTTTGATATGAAATAGGGTTATCTTCTTGCTGAAATTTGAAAGTCCCTTTCTTCTGCTGCACTTTTCCCTCTGCTGTATTGAAAATTACTGGGGAATAGTACTATCATACAACATATTTCATGATCTGAAAACAGTATCATTTTAAAGTTATATCAAATAACTGCAAAAGCATACTTTTTTTTTAAATGGGATTTTTGTGTGCATACTTTGAAAGTAACAGACTTTTCGGTGTAAGTTTGCTAGACTGTCTTTGCCATTGATTTTGCAAGCAGTGCCTGCTGGAAATTAAAACCAGAACTCTATCAAAGGGCACTAAAAACATAAAAGTACAATTACAGCTTCTCAAGTCATATAATTATTTAGAAGAGTACTGTTAAAAGAACACAATGAATTGAAAGAGATACAAAAGGGAATTATCCAAAAGAAAAACCATCCAATGTTAGGTTTTAGCCAGTTCTTTTGGAAAACATTTCTTTGTACTAAATGCTAGTTAAAAGAAAATAAACTGTGTAAGTGGAAAATGTTAATCAACAGCTTTCTGTAAAAGCAAGAATCTATAGTTTGAATATACTTAAGTTTCCGTCTGCAACTTTGGTTTATAACATACTGAAAACTATTCATTTTCATGAACTACATTTCCAACTGGAGTAAATAACAATTGCCACGAGCACCACAAATGAAAGCATATGAAAATCAAAACCTAGAATTACGACCTACTGCTCTGGTAGACATTTAGTTGCAGGGATATAGTCATGCAGTTCTGCAAGTCAGCAAAAGAAGGCATTTTGAAGAAAGATGGGAACACCCACTGGGGAGCTGACTGCTTAAGGAGTGGCATACATTTTTGGAACTCAGTTTATACTTTCAGTATAGAGTAGGGAAACATGCTAACTTGAACTGAGCACAAAAGAAAGAAGGAAAATGACCATGCATCAGAACCAGATATTAGAATATAAAGGAACGTGTTTGTGAGGTGGGATATTTTTAATGGAAACATTTAATTCATATTACATACGGGAATAAAAATTCTCTTGAGAAGCATAAGCCTTTATACATGTTAGTGACATATTCCACAGAGATGAGTGGAACTCAGAGATAGTACACTTCCAAAATTATCTGATAAAATAAACAATAAATTAAGAGACTGGCGTTTATACTCTGCTAGCTCTGAGTCTTTTTAAAGTATATGTTGTTACAAGGTTGCCCAGCTTAAGACACGGGGAAGCCTTTCTTACTGCATTTTGAAGACTGGGATCACATCCTTGTTTTGTGTTGCAATTAACATTCTGCAGGAGTTCTGTCATAATGGTTTTTCAATTAATTTTGGCATTAGCAAAGTCAGGATCATTGTTTTAAGGCAATCTGAAAAAATCACCTTCTGATTTTTATTCCTGATAGACAATATTCATGTCTACCATATGCAAGAGAACTCTTCAGAGGGAAATTGTAGCTGATCTTGTGTAATACAGAGGTTAAAATGGTTGTATGGAACACTAGGAGAGAATCAAAAATGACAAACAGCTCTGAGCACATTCAGCTGACACTTCCTTGTTCCTTGTTCCAGTAATGGACATCTGATATACAATAGCAAACTTCATGTGCAGTATTATGAGATGCAATACTGCCACCTTTAAGAATTTTCTATTAGTTACCTTACTACACAGGACTTGTGGAGAGCTAATGCTTTTGAGATGGCATATGAAATGTTCATGAAATTTGTCTGCTATCAGCATCTTCACAGGACATCAACTTTTTGTACATCCCCATCTCAGAACAACGAGCTTTGCTTTTTGTCCAAAAATTAATAAAAAACACTGGTATCTTATGGGCTTAAATCAGAAGCATCATGTGTGACTGGGAAAATTTTTCATTAGGGAGGTACAAGTTAACTGCAAAATACATTTTTTCAGTGAAGAATTTTTCTTTTAGTTTCAAAAATTTTATTGCATTGAAAACTTTGCCTACTCCACAGAATTCTTTCCTTGGGTGCAAGCTATTTACACATCAACAGAAATGAATGGGTCTGACTTTTGGTGGCAACAGCATGTTCAGGTACCCAGAATAACATAGGCTGATATTACCTATAGAACAGCTGTTCCAAACTTCAACATAAATATAGGGAAAATTAAAAAGACAAAATACCAGCCAACATGGATAAAGCACAGATTATGATAAGAATAATATTGATGAAAAAATTAATGCCAAGATTGGACACATTAAAAGGAAAACTTTGCCAAAACAAATGTTAGTTACATGAGGATATGGCATTCTAGACTAAGTAAAATGAAGGTCAAAATGTACCATACAGATGGCAAAGAAAAACATATTTCTGGACTTTGTGGGTGTGCTTTGAAAGGAAGACATCAGTTTTCCTTACAGTAAAGAGACACAATGTACAGCTATCTTCAGATCTATGTATGTCTTTGTGATGCTGTTTCCATGGACCAGCACACCTCTTTTCCTTTATGGCAGCTTTTAATGCAGCAATTCTACCTGTCAGGCAGAGTTCAAGACTCATGGAGGGATACACGTAAAACAGTAATGGCAGACCTCTGTAAGAATGTAAATTCTTCACCTTCAGCTCACTGATCTTCCAGATAAGAGCTTGGAATAACTCTTTCTTTTGCAGTTGTCACCCAAGACCTTGGCTCACACAATACACCTACCCACAATCCTCTCTTGCAAAAATAAATTTCTAAGAACATACCTAACTTGCAAACTTCTTGCACCACCACAGGAACTGGACATGCCCAGGAAAATATTGGCTAACATATTCTTTTGAGAGTTTCTATAAATCTCCATGAAATATAGAGGGTATTTTTAAATATACCAAAACAAGAAGCGCTATCTAAGTCAAATGTACCCGGCATTTTTTTCATTTTGAATAGCAAACAGAATCCTGTAAATCACTCAAAAAGAGTATTTCTACTACAATATGCTTCTACGTTTCCTGCAAGATTACAACAAACACACTTTCATATTTCTGTTTACTTTTACCTCGGCAATAGTCGTAGTGTTCCATTTGTGATACCTGTATAGGACAGATTTAAATAGAGAAGAGATCTGCAGCCTTCTGATATGACTCTCATTGATTCATCCTGAATAATAATTAAAAAATAAAAAACAATCAAGAATTACATTGAAATTGTATTTGTATTGTTATCCTACATTTTTATGCTCAGTAACGTGGGAAAAGCATGAATAAGTATCTTTAAATCATCATAATAATCTTATGATGATTTATGATGACTACCATAGCCATTTTTTTTGGAAGCTTCAAAGTAAAATACTGAGAGACACGTGATGCTACTGTTACTCAACTGAAGTGTGGTAATTTAACATTCCAGTTCAAGGAAACATGATAATCTACACAGTCCTACAGACCACAGGGGACTTTTCACATGACTGAAGGTTAGCACATTTATTATGTTTTGCTAAGACAAGATTCTTGTTAGTTAACCCTGGTACCTAAAACCACTGGTTAATTTTCTCCACGAACTCTGGTACACTTCTCTGACCAGTAATATCCTTTATGAAAAGCCTTCTGTTTAGTTCTATCCTCTAGGTGGAATATTAGATTTGATTAATTATAAGGCTTCCAAGTTACATTGACCTGCAAAATTGGTACCACGTATATTGTTCTATATATCATTCCATTCCATTCCAATCCATAATGGGAACAAATCTCCTAGTATGAAGAATGTTTCACAATAAAAGTCAACATAATAGAAAGACAAAAGGTCAGCACTTATACACAAAAATATTATAGTTGAGTGTGTATCTCTTGCCATGTCGTGGTCATCTTTCTACTAAAAGATCACCAAGACAGCTGGAAATTCAATACCAATCAGCTTCAAGGAAGAGCTTGTGCCTTTGAAATATATTCCTAAAACAAAGGATTTGAGAGAGGTCACGCCAGTAAAAACAGGTATGCTGATGGAAGGTAACCATAACCTGAAAAGAGCAAGTCATAAATGGTGAGAAAGTATTTAGTGGATGGCACAATGGGGAAAACTCTCCATTCCATGTGAAAGCAGCACAACCACGGGACCATCTGAAGTGTCTGAACACAAACACTTGTAACATGGGAATCAACCAGTAGGGATGCACAGGTGCAGAGCAATGCTTCCACTGGGATTCCAGTGATGCAAAGGTGTAGTACACATAACTGGAGAGCTGCAATTAGTGTTATGGAATATTTGCGAATGACAGCCCAGGAAGGTGAAGACAGGTTGCAATCTATGCCATGGAGCATTGCATTGGAGGGTGTCAAGTCAGTTGACATTTTATTTGTAAGGATTAGAGGTTAGACCTATGAGGATTACATTGTGGTAGGTATCTATTTACAGACTGTTTGACCAAGAAAAAAAGTAGATGAAACCTTTGAGCAGCTGAAGGAAACCTTACAACTGCCTATCCTAGTTACTCATGAGAGACTTTAACCACTCTGATTATCTGCTTGAAGAACAATATTGTTAGGCACAAACAATCCAGGAAACTTTTAGAGTGTGTTGAAGACAATCTCTTGATCCAGGTGACTGACAAGTGGTCTAGGGAACATGTTCTTCTGGGCTTGTTTCACAACAAGGAATATCTGTTCAGGGATGTGAAGAACTAGAGTGGTTTTGGTTACTGCAACCATGAAAATGAGAATCTTAAAATCCTGAGAGTAGAAGATTGGACAAATTGTAGAAGAACAAGCATATTCTGGGTTGGTTAGGGATTTGCTTAACAGGATCCCATGGTAGACAACCCTGGAAGGCAGAAGGGTCAAGGACAGCTTGTTGATCTTCAAGGCCAAGGTACTGAATGACTTTTTTTGCCTCAGTTTTTATTACTAAGGCTGCCTTGCAGGAGCCTACTAGCATTATCTGTGGAAGTGAAGCAATACCTATGATAGAAGGTAATGTCAGGGAGCACTTGAAATGGGATGAGAAAGGATGCATCAAAGAGTACTGAGTAGGCTCCTGACACTGAGAGGCCTTGCTCATTTTTGAAAGGTCATAATGAACAGATAAGATTCCTGGTGACTGGAAGATAGGAAATGACATACAATTTACAGGAAATAGAAGAAGGAGGATCCAGGAAATTACAGGCCAGTCAGCCTCACCTAAGTCCTTAGGAAGGTTATGTATCAAATCTTCCTTGAAGCCCTGTCCAAGGAGGATGAAAAAGTAATAGTGAAGAGCCTGCAAGGATTTACGAAGGGCAAAGCATTCCTCACTAACATGATAGTTTTCTATGATGAAATTACTGGATCTATGGAGAAAAAGCAGCTGTTGTGTCTTGAATTCAGCAAGGCCTTCAGCACAGGCAACCATATACTTTACAACCAAAGTGGTAAAATAAAGGCTGGATCAGTGGACTTCAAGGTGAGTGAAATTTGTCTGGATTGCCAGGCCTAAGGGTTGTCACCAGTGGTGCTAGAGTCCCATTGGTGGCTTGTGGCAACTGGCATCCCTCAAGGGTCAGTGTAGGGGCCAATACTATTAAATGTCTTTGTAAATGTTTTGGATGATAGGAAATGAGTATATTCTCAGCAAATTCACAAATTATTCCAATCTGGGGGAAGTGTCAATACACTGGAGACTAAAACTGCTATTCAGAGAGATTTAGTCTGGAAAAATGGGCTAATGGAAACCTCATGAAGTTCAACAAAGGCAAATGCAGAAGTCCTGCACCTGGGTTAGAATAACCCTGTGCATCAGTAGTCTAGACACTGGTCAGAAAGCAGCTATCAAACACACTGACCTGAAACTGCTGGTCAGTAATAATTTCAGTGTATGTCAACTGTGTATCGTTCCAAGAAAGGTGACCAACTGCATACTAGGCTGTATTGGCAAGAGTGCAATCAGCAAGTCCTTACTATCCCATGCACCAGGCCTTGACACCACCTAAGGATGTGCTTGCTGGTACATATCGAATGTATACGAGCAAGCATGCTCAAAAACAAACAGAATAGACAGTTACGGAAGTGTCTGAGTCTTTACAAAACCCTGGCCCACTTTAACTTATTGTCTTCTTTCAGGAACAACAGAATCAAGGATCACTGAGAAGCATGTAACCTCTAAATATTACACTGTAATTATAATATTATATAGCAGAGTCAAACATCATTTTTTCATCAGAGAAGGGCAATTGAAAAACATTAAAGAGAATTAATGGAAGTGCAATAAAACTGAAAATGATAAAGGAAAAAGAACGGACAAATATATAGTGATGATGGTGATTGCATACTTTCAAATAAAGGCTCTCACAAATATCTAAAAATATAGTGAGAATTTTTTAGAGCCTATATGTATCACTGAGTGAAGGAATAAAGGAACCTGAAAACAATACAGGATTGAAATGTATAGTTGTTGCCAACTCCAAACTTAAAATGCACACACACACACACACACACACACACACACACACACACACACACACACAGACTGGTAAAGTTTTGGAGCATGTTTATTAAAATTAATTGAGATTGACTATATCAATTTGTATTAGAACTGTAGAAAACAAATGAGAACTTCACTGAGTATCTCTGAATCCCACTGAATTCCATTTTCAAAGTACTTGAGAACACAAGTCTCTACTTCCTATCAGGAAGATATGTGTGTCCAAATAAGCACAGCTCTTTAGAAATCTTCCTTCTCATTAGAAATTAGAGTTCATGAGAAAGGTCTGAAGTACTTACATTTAATCCCTGGCATTCAGAGAGATTTAAATCTTGCAAATTCTTACATGCACCTAAAAATAATAAAAAAAGTCATATTAAGAGTGAACAGTTCAAATTCTCAGTGTACAACACAAACATAAGAATTCATATTACAGATTCAGTCCATCAAGGCCTCCCTTAAAACCACAGCCACAGCAGATTACTGAGAAGAAAGCACCAAAAAAAACCCAAAAGCAGAATACAAAGTTGGAGAAAGCTGTCCTGAGGAAATGTCTATTCTTACACTCCATCAACGAATGGCACACTCAGGAGCCAAACTGTTTTCAGTCTTATGTTACCAAAGGACCAGGAAGCTACATAATTAAGCAATCTGATGTTAGGAAATGCCAGAGTTACATTTTCCATATAGGTTTATGAGGTGGTGCCATCAGACCAATTGTAGGAAAAGCCCTGCTCATCTTCTGCAGGTATTGAATTTCAGAGAATTTCACTGCCTGAGACAATCTCTTCTCTGTGCATATAATCATTATTTTTAGAAACTCTTATTTTGCAGAGACTGCTGCAATTCTAACAAAATAATGACAGATAGATGCCTGACACTAGAAAAAACACACATCCTTTCAGCCACTCTTCTGCCAAATTTTGAGTCTATTGTCCAAGTAAAAGATGCAAAAACCCCTATTAAACATAGTAATACCTTTTGCCTTAATCTAATCTTCAAAATAACTGATCTGTTTAAACTGAAATGATCAAAATAGGCCTGATATACAGATGCCTGATATGGAAAATCCCATATAAAAGGTTTGTACAGTGAAAATAAATATATTTTAAAAATACTTAAAAACACATTTTCAGATGGTAAGAAAAAATACATGTTTTCAACTGCAATAAGCGTTAGTACAATAGATCTGTATGATGTTTTCTGCAGGGACTGTGGCTTCACTGATATCCTGTAACTTTCTAACTCAGTGTCTTTTTGAGGAGTAGGACAATACTGAGAGGGATTGCACACCTCAGAAGAACCTGACCAATCAAAATCATCCTTAAGGCTGCTAAGCCACAGAAATTACATAGCTCTTACATGGGTTTTTTTGCCCTAGAACTAGAAAAGACAGTTATAATTTTACATGTGAATGTGTACATGCTACTAAAAGCAGTTGCTAATTTTGGTATTATAGCTGAATATACTTTAGTTAGCAGGCAGAAAAAAAATTAATACTAGTAAAACAATCCAGACTCAGGAGATGGAAAGGAAGAGGAAAGAATTTTCCCATAGTTTTTTATTACCTTTCCTACCCCAAGTTCTTTTTCTATTTCCTAGCTCTCCTGGATAGAATGAGCTATCACATTACCAGAACAATTAACAGTTCAAAACAACACAGAGGATCACAGTTATGACTCAAGTTATTAAAACACATAATCAACTCACGGTGACTAGCATATAGCTGCCAAAAAAGTTACAAGTAAAATGTAATTTTTCATGTAAGGGATAAAGTTGTTTATGCAAACACTCATTCACACTGTGAACTAACAGAGACTGAATGAAGATAGACAACTGGTAGCTACAGGAACAAAATGGAGAAACCAGTAATTGAGTTTTCAAAGGTAATAATGGGAACCAGCCACTTGGATTAGAGGGATGCAGCAACAGGTGTAGACAAGACTGCTCCATCTTTCTAATAACTGCACAAATACTGAGAACACTCTATAGTTGAGATGTGGTTTAAATTTATCTACTGATTTCTTTAAAAATTAAAAATCTCTTTGCTTTCAAAAGTAGTTTACCTGATATTAGTTCGTTTACTGTGCCACCTTTCCTCCAGACAAAAAACAAGTTTTTTGAGCCCAGATCAGCAGTGTTTTAGAAACAGAACATCTGTGCAATGATCTGCATTTAAGATCAATACCTTGCCAGGTGCTAAGGTGCACAATCATAGAGAAAAATTAACTAAGTAGCTACACCAAACAGTGAAGAATGAGAAAAAAGTTTCAGAAGGGATGATACCGATTAGCAAAAGAAATTTGTGACTTTGAAAATAGTTAGAAAATACAGCAAGCTGAGGGGTTAAAATGATTTTAAGGAAAGATGACCTTATGGCCAAACTTCACCGAAGATGAAGGAAAACGGCAATACACAGGAGTACTATGGGAAATTCAGGAGGGAGCACAGGCTGAAAAATTACTAAAAATACTGAGGCATTTTAGACTCGATTGTGGGCAGCAGTCCTTATCTTCCCCTAATAGTAATTCCTCAAGACTGTGTTCAGCTTTCCTAGAAAACTGAAAGCTCCTGGCTTACCCCTCTGTACTGTTCCTCCTTAGGTGGACAGACCTGCAACTGGTTTAAAGCACACCATGGCCATGACCAGCAAGTTCTCCTCTGCACTCTGCCTACACTCAGATGACATATAACCTGATAGGCTCTTGCTTGTGGTCTTTTCTGAGCCAACTTTGTCTACCTGACATGGGCCAAAAGAGACATTTGGTAGTAAGCAGGGCTAGTAAATTTATATGGTAAATACATAAATGGTAAATTTGGGCTCAACCTGAAAACAAGACTGCATTTGAGCATAGTCTATAACTGAGGAGTCGACAGGCACTAGATGTGTTCCAGTGGGTCAACCCCCAGAAAGCTGGAAAGTATCAGCTTCAAGGTCCTCTTTCAAGCTCATTTTCCAAGATGAACTTAAATACAAAGAAGATTCAGCCTGATGCCATTTTACTGAATACATGAAAACCTTTTTAATAAAGATCAGTTAGAAATGGGTCCATATAGTTTCCCATGTTTAATAAAAATGGATAACAATAAACTAGACAGTAAAAACCAGCAACACACACACAAAAAAAGAGATAGGACATTAAATCTTCAAAGCATTTGTGAAACTCCAAGTAGTGTGATGATTATTTGACTGAATACTGTATATTACATTCAAGCCTCTACGAAAATGCCTGTTTCATCTGTTGTAATGTTTTATTTCTCTTCCAGCACAGGGATCCCACATACTCCAGCTGTGTCTCCTCAGATCTGTACAACACTGATTAAGACTATCCAAAAATTTCAACTGTTACAGCTGTCACGGAAAATAGCTGGGGCCAGCTGAATGTCAGGATGCAAGTAGTTACTATTATACTACTACTCCTTCTTTGTAAAGCATCTGACAGTAGGAAGACAAGGAATAGGAGTTTGAGAAACAATGAAAGGGAAAACATCTTAAGGAGAGCATCTAGCACTGTTAAGCGCAATGTCCAAGGCGTACCATGTGATATATACACTTATCTTCATGAGAAATACCTAGATTGTCAGGAAAGAAAATTGATTTTTGTGGCACCGGATTGGCCAGAGGACTTAAAACACATGCTGCTAGCAAGAAACAGGATTCGTAAACTGAAGAATAATATGTTTTCCAAGTATAAAGCACTGAAAAGTCTGGATTTACAACAGAATGATATATCAAAAATTGAGAGTGAGGCTTTTTTTGGTTTGGATAAACTCACCACACTCTTACTTCAGCATAACCAAATTAAGAGTTTATCTGAGGAGATTTTTATTTATACACCCAGTCTAAACTACCTACGTCTTTATGATAATCCCTGGCATTGCAATTGTGAACTAGAAGCTCTTGTTACAATGCTGCAGGTTCCAGCAAACAGGAATTTGGGAAATTATGCCAAGTGTGTGCATCCAATAGGACTGAAAAATCAAAAGCTAAAGCAGATAAAAGCTGAACAGCTATGTAGTGAAGAAACCAGGCAAGACCCCCAAAATATAAAACGGGAAAAGCCTGAAGCTGCCAAACCAGAATTTGATTCCTCTTCATGCCACATGTATGTGTTTCCTGTACCAACTCTCAACTGCAGAAGAAAAGGTTTGTGTCTGTCCTTATAACTGAAATAATGATTTTAATATTCTTTAATATTCTTGCTCCTTTACTACATTCATTCACATACTATTTACAGCAAATTAATATAGAACTAGTACCCACATTACTTTAAGTACTTCTGTTGTTTTTTTCTCATAAATACAGTCAACAAGTAGGAGTTCTTTCTGCATTCTACCTCTGCTCTGCCACCCTGATTCCACAGATATTCTTTAGTGCTCTGGTATAAGATATCAAACAAAAGTCAACAGGAATAAAATTAAGCACATACTTAAGTTACTGAAGGACCAGCACCTCACAAGTCTGGTTTTACAACTATAAACATACTAATCCAATTACAGCTGTGCTGAAATTATTGCACAGATAGAGAAAAGCACAGTGTCTTTTCTTCTTTCCAGTGTAGAAACACAAAGATAACAACAACTTTGACAGAAATGATCTGTGAAACAGGACTGGAGCATCCAGCTGTGCTTACAGTGCCAAAAGGAACCTGACTGCAAAGGAGAGCTATTTCATCCTCACATTTTCTGTGCAAGATTTCTTCTACTAAGGGAAGAAATTGTATCATTTTGTTCATAAAGAAATAATTCCCCTGTGTGCTTCTTCCCAGCACCCAGCAAACATTTCAAAATTGAAGTGCCTTCAAGAAATGTTTTTCAAACACTTGGATCCATTCCATTCCTAAATCCTTCTCAGGCTCAAAACCCGTTAAGCCTTAAGGGTAGACCAGATGGCTCCTAACACAAAAGTTTACATTTATTCATCTTTTATTTCCCATATTTTATCTGATGATAAAGCAAACAACCAAATATTCAGAAAATAGTCATTCTTTAACTTACAAATCTGAAATAAAAAGCATTACTAGAAGTAGCCAGAACTGGGAGGTTTATTCCCCAAGTTCTGCAAAGCATAGCCTGCAATACGGGATCACTGCACTATGGTTTGCCCACTTGTATCTTGCATTGTGTTTGCTAAACTTCTATTTGCTTAAACAGTGACTTCAATTTCTGTAACTACTTTGTGCACCCTTACTCTTCAACTTTAATGTCAGCGCCAAGCTCAGAAGTCAGTATAAGGTGACAATACCTAAATATAAAGATTTAACAATTTCAGTATTTGATTTCACGGTTTATCTACTATGAATGGCATAAAAAAACGGTCCACATTTTTACTTTTTTCCACCTGTTAAATTCCTTTCTTCTTCCTATGACTGACTTTTCTCTTTGTCTTACCATGCATCATTCTCATTAATGTTTTACACTTTTTTAAGTGGTTAACATCTACTGATTTCTGAATATTCACATACCTTACCTTTCCTTGTAAATAAGATCTTAATTATTAGATTATAGATTTCAATCTTAATTATCCTTCGTAAAATCTAAATTATATCATTATTGCCTTACATCTCCACTAAACTGTGTTACTGAACAGAAACCAGGCATATATTAAAATCTTAATATAAGAGAAGGCTGACCTTCTGGTTCTCCCCATCTGGTGCTGTCAAAGAGATGAGCTGAACACATGAATATTTTCAAAAACATTCAGCAAGAAAAATGTTACTTTTTTTCTCTAAGTCCACAGAAATATTCAATGTGGTCTGCTCTCTATGGGAGTTTCACAGGCTTTTATGGTATTTTTTAAAAAGCTATTTGCTGGTTTTAGCATTAATAATGAAGCAATAAAGTTACTTCAACCTCTACATGAGTGAACTAGACTACATGAGGGTACAGGGACTCCCTCTGTCAGGTCTGGAAGTCCAGCCGAGGACTTCCTGAACGTCTAGCACAGAAACATTGAGTACATTATTTTGTAGTAAGTATCAGGTCTACTGTGCATATGCTTGACAGTTCGATGCAAATATCCCATGGATATTTAGGATTTCTGAACATAACGTAATCTTTGATGACAGCACTGTACTTAACTGCCTTTGCATATGATTATTGTGCAGCAGATGCACAATTTCATTGGATTTTTCATTAGAAATAGGAGTATAATCCACATGAACAAGATTTCAGAAAAAAGATGTATCAGTTTCCCAACCTGTAAGATGACATGAAAAGCTTCAATCCATTATTCCCTTATGATGGAGGGAATGAAGCGACAAGCAGTATACCAGAACTATGTATCTCTAAGGAGATACAACAGGCCAGCAGCTTTCGGTTCATGTCAGAAAGCTCATGAAAGAAACATCTTAAAAATACATATAATCATGTATATGTTCTCCTTGTTGAAGAACTTGTTTATATTCCATCAGACTAGTGATACACACCACATCTTTCAGTACTTCGGAATGAATCTTATGTCTGTGATTCTGTTCTACCAAAAAAAAAGCAACAAAAGTTGGATACAGAAGTCATTTCTGTTTGTTTTTCCACAAAAGAATTTGTATTTGCAAGAACAGCTGAAAAAATCTGCTTTCTAGTACTGACAAACTCTCAAAGTCTCAAATTCAAGCATTATTTTCATTCATTTGCTGATAAGTAGGACCTGAAACTTTGACATCTGCACTAGCAGGAAGCACTCCAACCAGAGCAGGCTGCTCAGACTCAAATATGAGGCAGGAAGACTCTGACATGTTGCTTTAGACATCTTCAGAACTTTAGAAGTACACTGACAGCACAGATTTCAGCACAGATCCAGGAGCTACTTGCTTTCAGTCAAAGATGGTCAAATAAGAGATAACACTCATTCTTGTAGCAACAGCCAGGATTATAACCCCCATTAAATAAACATAATCCTAGAGATTAAGTTTATTAACATTATCCTGTGAAGATTCAAACCACAGTCTGCACTTCTCAAGAATGTGCCCTTACTACTAGATTAGAAGCTATTCTTTCTGTAATTCTTGCAAGGAGCAAGGAACATTATAAGGATATGCACACAGTCCTTGGATACTTTGGTAGGGAGAAATAGACAGAATGCCACTATGCTACCTGTAAGTATTATAGCAAATATAAAGTCTTCAATATTACTAAAACATTCCACACAGTAACTACAGAACTATAAATATTATGATATTTTAATTGCTGATACAATTTTAGATTATTTTACCTTTTGGCAACATAGAACAAAGGATGTAAGACAGCACACTATCATTTGATTATGGAAGAACCAAGGAACTTTTTTTTATATAATTACACTGATTTCTTTTCTTTAAATAATCAAGCCCTTCACACATACTTTTTATTAGTATAGTATTTTCACTACTCACCCTACCCCTATGCAAAAAAATAGTACAGTTCTGTTAGAATAAAAATATGAACCACAGAGGCTTTACTATGAGTACTACTGAAGAGAGCAATTTTCAGATGAAATGTAAAGATACAAGTGAACAAAGCAATGAAATTCAGAAGCTGAAGAAACACGTTGACACCACTATTGAGGATAAAAGGGAAAAACCAAGAAACAATGCTAGATTGACAAAATTCTGTGATACCTAAACAGTAAGAATAATCTTAAGCTAACAGTTGTTTCCTTTTCATTTTTTTAAGATTTAAAGAAAGTTCCAGGTAACATACCTCCAGATATAGTTAAACTTGATTTGTCCAGCAACAAAATTAGACAACTACGAGCCAAAGAGTTTGATGATGTCAGTGAACTGAAGATATTAAACCTAAACGGTAACGGAATAGCCTACATTGATCCTGGTAAGAATAATTTAAAACAGTCATTAAAAAGTGATTGGTGTTATTAAATTTAAACTTTAATAATGTCTACCAGATATAAATGTGGGGGAAAAGGATTTAAAATTTGAGAAACTGGTTCAATTTTTACCTTTTGTACCACTCAATTCATAAAGGTTTGCACTGAAATGTATTCATCATGGAAGTCAATGAAGAGACACTGATTTCAGCTGCCCTTTCTTAACACTAAACCAAGCAAGTGCAAAATTTAATTGTGCAGACTGAAGACTAATCACTTCCCAAAATGCTAAATAGCTGAACAATGTTTTCAATATCTGCTGAATGTAAGAAAACTTGTCACATAATGAGGCTGCTTTTAAATTATATTGGACAATAAAGTAAAAGACAAAGTGTTTAAACTCTTTCGCGTTAAAAATCACAACATATAATTGCTCATAATTTATATATTATTAGAACTCAAATGGCCTTGTTGGCAGTTTGCTTATAGCCTATGTGTATTCAGTTTTTCATTACGAAAGCAGACACAAGGAGACAGAAGTATGAAGCAAAAAGAGCCTTCTCTAGTAGCATTTTGGCAGTTAAACAACAGTAGTAATCAATACACTGGTACTTACAAAGTTTAACATTACAGATAGACAATTTACTTAAATTAAGACTTCCACCATTAAATGAAAGGGTATATTTGCAAAAAGTATGACTCAGAAGCTTTATTATGAAGTTCTATGTCTTCCATATCTTAAAACGCTAATTTAAAGGTTCTACGCACATACACAAATACACATGTACATACAAACACTATTAGCCCTGCACATTAATACATAATCAATTGCCATATTTCTACTGTATCACAGCAATAACAGTTGACTTCTATGAGCAAATAAAGCATTAATTCACCTTCACTGTACCTATTCTATACTCATGCATGCCCATTAAGAATATTATAACCTTACCAGCAATACAACTCCCCTAATGTCAATATATTTATACCAATACATCACTTCTCAAGGCTCAAGACATATTTTAAAGTTCAGAGTTTGAAAAGTCTTTTTTTGTAGCCTTTAGCCCCTCCCAAATGAATAAATGTATAATTACAAAAATGTTACTCCTGTTGCAGGTATGCATGGGTTTTTTTTAACTTGCCTTTATGAGGTCCCAATAACCATTTTTCTATTGACTAGCTGCTTTCTCAGGCCTCAATAACTTAGAGGAGCTGGATCTATCAAACAACAGCTTGCAGAATTTTGAATATGGAGTACTGGAAGATCTTTACTTTCTAAAAATACTGTGGCTGAGAGACAACCCTTGGAGATGTGATTACAACATTCATTATCTGTTCTACTGGTTGAAGCATCACTACAATGTTCACTACAATGGCCTTGAATGCAAAATGCCTGAGGAATACAAAGGATGGTCTGTCGGAAAATATGTTCGAAGTTATTATGAGGAATGCCCAAAAGACAAACTGCCCATTTATCCAGAAACATTTGATCTGGACAAAGATGATGAGGAATGGGAGCGACACAAAGAACAGTCAGTTCAAACAGTAAAGAAGCATGGTGTAATTGTCACTGTGATAGGCTAACAAGGGAATCCCTCCTTTCCTTTTTTTAGTACATTCAAATATTTGATATTCTGACAAGGAAAAACATGCTGTTTACATTTTTTGTTAATTGTACTGATTCTCTGTAGGACTATTTGCCTACAAAGATTTCTGTTTATTGCAGTTAATTACAGAATGGCATTAGTTACACAGCATCCTTCATCAAGTAATTGTTTCTGACCATTTGTTCTGGACATTCTTGTGAAATATTTTGGCAACTATTTGAAACTATGTGGTAGAAATCAGTAGACACAAATGTACATAGTGTGGTGGGGAGGAGCTGTCTTATGCATGAACACAGCTCTTGTGCTCTCACGGAACTTGCTGCAGGATTGTGACCAAGACACATTTTTCTGGAATGTATTGTCAGTCCTTTGTATCTACCACTTTCCTGAAGTATTCCCAGAAAACATTTCTAAGATATTTGTATCAGCTTCCTTTTGTTTTACTGTATACAAAAAAATCAAACTGAAGAGTAAATTTAAATACAGTTCTAGAAAAACACAAATAGCAGTCTTTATACTGATTAGGATTCAAACCCAGAAGCTGGGTTCTACCTGCTGATTTACCAGAGTTTCTGTTAGTTTTGGGTGAGTAATTCAGCCTCTGCCTCTTCTGTACCTGATCTGCCTGAAAGCCATGATCAGCCAAGACATTCCCAAGTCCTAGCTCAACGTGATCACATCTGCCTTGTTCAGTTTCTGCAGTACGCAGAGCTGAAGTCTTTCTAGGAAGCATTTCAGGTTGTCATGTCAGTTTGACATAGATTACAAGACATCACTCTGAAGAGGACCATGTGAATACTGCTGTAGTCTACATCCCACATGCCAGTGCCCATCCACACTGCAGGTAAGTAAGTATGCTTTTGAGCGCTCACTAAATGTGCAGGAAATTCCCAAAGTCTGCCCTTCCACCCAGCTCATTTGTAAAATGTGCATTATAGAACCTCCTTATCACACAACTGCCTATGTGAATATACATTCGTTACAAACTGTGATTAGTCTAATACTGTGATAACTGAGCCATACAAATGCCTCAGCTAAGTAGACAATATCCCTAAAGATAAAATTCATTGCTATATAATATAGCGGCTGAAAGGTTTTTTTAGAAAAAAAAAATGTTTCTACTGAAAGACTGTTCCTAGTTATATTGAACTATCAGAGCTAGTGCCTCTTATTATAAACCCTTTTTTAACATAGAAAGGAAGACTAATTACCCAAGCTCACACAGAGGGCAAGTAGAAGATGCTGGGTTACAACCTGGCTTACAACTTCAGTATTCCCAGCTCAAACCTAAGACCAATCCCCTGCTCTTAGATGAGTAAGAAATACCTAAGTGCAGGATAGAGATGCAGGGCCAAAACTTTAAATATCTGTTGGCTACCATGGAAAAAGTTCTGGAACACTTCAGAGAGAAAATTTGCTCCTTTAAAGATATGCACAAAATTATGGCATTGTGGTTTTCTCTGGTGCTTTAGCCACAAGCCCAAAAGGTCACCCATTTTGTTTTAGAAGCGCAATACAAAGCACACAGTGCTTCTATGCTGACATAGAAGAACAACATAAAGGAAAAGTTCAGAAGTTACTAAGGGTGGTAGGAATGCCAAAGGATCCTTAGGCAAACACAAGATATTATTAACTCCATTCCTTTATAGAATGGTTTGGAAGGGACCTCAAAGATCATCTAGTTCCAACCCCTCTGCTATGAACAGGGATATATTATTCATGTCCTAAGTGATTCAGATTGTGAATGTACTTAATTGTGCTTTACTGATAAACTGAATTATTTAGCCATGTCTTCCACAACATCTTTTGAAAACTGCATAGCAAAACCAACAGTATCTGACTCATCCCTGCTCCTGGGAATATTTTAAGTATTATCTTAATTATGGAACGCAGATGAAAATCCCATTTGGTCAGTAATATTCAATAAATGGGGCATTTTCTAGAAACTTAAAAGTGATGAAAGAAAAAAAAAATCTCTCATAAGCAGTAGCCAGCATTAAGTGAAGTGCTTACCGTCCTCCTCCTCTCAAATTCCAGGGAATTACTTCAGTACAGAATGGAACTACTGAGCGTGATTGAAAAGGACAGACAATGGAACCACTGCAGAATATCTGTTGTTAGCAACACAGCCAATGGAGAAAAGCTGAGTAGGAAAAAATGAATTTAACATAGAATCATAGAATTTTTGGGGTTGGAAGAGACCTTAAAGATCTTTCAGTTCCAAACCCCCTGCTATGGGCAGGGACATATTCCACTGGACCAGGCTGCTCCAAGCCCCATCCAACCTGGCCTTGAACTCTGCCAGGGATGGGACAGCCACAGCTTCTCTGGGCACCCTTTGCCAGGGCCTCACCACCCTCACAGAAGAAAATTTCTTCCTAATATCTAATCTAAATCTCCCCTCTGTCAGCTTAAAGCCATTCCCCCTTGTCCTATCACTACATGCCCTTGTAAAAAAGTCCCTCTCCAGATTTCTTGTTGGCCCCCTTTAGGTACTGAAAGGCTGCTATCAGGTCTCTCCAGAACCTTCTCCGGGATGAAGGAGGGCTTCAGCCCTCTGATCATCTTTGTGGCCCTCCTCTGGACTCACTCCAATAAGACCCATGTCCCTCTTGTGCTGGAGCCCCAGGGATGGATACTCCACTGCAGGTGAGGTCACACAAGAGTGGAGAAGGGGAGAATCATTTCCCTTGTCCTTTTGATGCAGCCCTGCATACAATTGGCTTTCTGAGCTGCAAGCACACGCTGCGAGGTCATGTTGAACTTCTTGTCAACCAACACCCCCAAGTCCTTTTCCCCAGGGCTACTCTCAATTCAGTTTCCTCCCAGCCTGTAGTTGTACTTGGGTTTGCCCTGACCCAGGTCTAGAACCTTGCACTTGCCCTTGTTGAACTTCATGAGGTTTGCACGGATCCACCTTTCAAGCAGCACATTCTTTAAGATTGTATGAATTAGAAAAGCATAAAGGAACTGTGAAGGTAGCACAGGAGGAGGCAGCCCAAGGAAAAAGACAAAGATATATTTGAAAAACACATATGGAGACAATGACTAACAACAAAACCTTCAGCATTACAGGGTTCATTACTATTTCTCTGAAATGTACTGTAAGTTGAAGTAAACTCTCCATGAAACACTACAGCCACAAACCACAATTTAATGCTGACATTTCTTTCTTTCTGTACTAATTTAATCACAGAATCCCAGAAGCCCTTCCACGTCTAAAAGAAAAGCATGGGCGTCTCTCTTCCTTTATATGCTTTTTAAGTCCTTTCAGTAATTTCTGTCTTGATTCTCCTTCTTTCTCTCTCCAAATCCAGGAAATAATTGCATGATAGTACATTTTCTTCCTGATATGCAATATATGTAGTGCGTTAAGGGGTGAACTACAGTACTTTACAGGCACAGTGTCCTTCTCTCTACACAGCACACACAAAACACAGAAAAGACTCTTTTGACCCACGTTTTGCCATGACAGAGTGTAAGAAAAAAGGCAGGTCTGTCAATACTGTGACCACTAGTGGCAATAAAAAGCTTCAAAAGCCTCTGAGGAAATTGTAGCTCCTGCCCTATGAATATGAATGGCAGCTTTTAAACACAGTTCCCAGTCACACATGGAAGTCAAATGATTCTCTAAAATCACCGAGTGGGTGGAGTAATACCACAAGCAGCTGAGCTGTAACCCATGCATCTCATACACTCATTTTTTCTTTGGCAAAATAACACATTTATTTCCCAAAGAGTCTGAGCTGGAATCATATAACATTCGTATGTAGGCATTAAACAATGACTATTACTTCATGCACACACCGCATAGCAAAGTTGCAGTACATAAAAACTTTTAAAAATAGTAGCTAATTAATTTAAAAAATAATATTAACATGTTTAGCCAGCTGAACAGACCTAACCCCCAATTGATATCATGGCTTTTTACCATTAACAATAAAAACAGGCTGCCAAAATCTGTGTAATCTTGGATTTATTTGAAAAGATGAGGTCAGAACTGTAGCTTGGGGAAGTTCTATCTAACGGAAAGGTTCATCACATCTGTAGCTTATAACTGAACAGACAGTTCAACGCAGTTTACTAGCTGAAGAAATGTCAAAGGAATAGAATTTCAGTAGGATTTACAATCACTAAGGAAAAAAAAATAGTCTTGCAGCAATTTTAAACCACCCACAAGAGCTTCAAAAGAATGGCAAAAGTAGTTTGTATGATCAATGAGATTTAACAAAATAAATATGCAATTAACCTAAATAACAATGCTACATTTACATAAATGTGTTTCATTCTTAAAAAGAACTACTGGGTGTCTTCAAAGTTAGAAGAAACAGCTTTATAAATCAATGTTTTTAAAAGCCCCTGTGGACCACCACACACGATTCAGCACAATTAGTTTAATAGCACTGAGTAGATGTAAATAGACAAAATCTTTGACAATTATCTCAGTAGAGTTGGATTCTGGCATTCGGATGTATTTAAGCACATCTGCATTCCAATCTTATTTGTCATATTACAGCATTTCACACACAACATAAACATTCTATTGGCATGGTAGCAATGTTCAGTCATATGGAGATTGCTGGGGCTGGAGGCTGTCATGAAGGAAAAGGCTGTCTTTAAAGTAATTTTACATACCTCATAGTCACATTGATTCATCATGGCTTTACACATAGAGAAGAATATAGGCAGCAAAACTGGACAATAGTGAAGCACAGACTGAAGACACAATTTAAAGAGGGGATTAAATTTAATAAATGCATGTAATACTTACTGATACTTTTAAAGGTAGGGCACTGAAGAGAAGAGCAACCTCGAAGATTCAAATGTAAGACATATGGGCACCACTTCTGCAAAACATTCACTACCATTTCGTCCTGAACTTTATGCCTCACTGCGGAAAAATTGATCTAAAAAATTAAACAATTGATTTATAATTCAGTTCTAAAAATAGGTAGTATACACAAAGACACATCATTATCAAAATTACTACTGAATACAACACAGTTATGCAAACACTGAATCAATAATCACCAAAACACAGAAATGTCTGTGTATTACATGTATAAAAATCTAGACAGCTGACTGAAAATACTTAAATGTAGGGGAAGCCTGTGTCTACAGTATTTGTGGAGTTGAGACACGCCTTGAACCACCGAAATATGACATGTCAGAATAGTACGGGCAAAGAAAATTGTTAGACTGGAACATGAAGTCCTAAAGTTGCCAAAGATACTTTTTTTTCTACTTAATGGTCTGCTAATACACTGAGATATCAAGACTACATAATCCACCACCTTAATTTTAGTAGAAGAATCCTTGAAATTACATAAGTTGCATGCTGGGGATATCAAAAACCTTGACTGAAACCATTCTTTTTCTAAATATCTCTCCGAAGTTCAAGAAGCTTTAACAAAAAATACTG